GTCAGCCCAGTTTAACTGGAGTGACTCCCTAAGCCTTTTAGTCTTGAGAACTGAAACCTGGCAACCAGGTATTGAACTCAGGGGCACTCAGCCACCAAGCCACCTCCCCAGCCCTTTTTATATTTTATTTAGAGACAAAGTCTCACTGAGTTGCTTAGGGCCTCAGTGCAAGGCTGCCTTTGAACTTGTGATCCTCCTGCCTCAGCCTCCCAAACTGCTGGGATTCCAGGTGTGCACCACTGCACTCAGCTTATTTTTACTTTTTGAAAATGTAATTACTAAAATGTTTTAAAGTGATTCACATTTCTTTCCCCTTTCTCTTTCTTCCTTTACTTTTTACATTGTATTTCTATTATGTTTCTCGTGTATGACACTGTTCTCTAAGCTTTATTTCTACCAGTAGGGTTCACTGAAACCACACCATTTTCATGCTTGTGTTACAGATGAGGAAATGGGCCCCRAGAAGGGAAGTCAACTGCCTGAGGTCACACAGCAAGAAGTGGCAGTGAGGAGGTTTGCATTGCTGTGGCCCAAAGCAAGGGTATTGACTGCTCCCATCTGTTGCATTAGCACCCTAGTGTGTGCACGTGCTTACACCAGGGTGCATCTACAGGTCTGTGTGCGGGAGATGGGTGAATGTGTGGGCACATGAGTGTCCTGGCCCCTGCTCGGGTCAAGGGCTGTCTCCATTCACATGGAAGCCTCCCCCAGCCTTTCCCACACCATCCTGGGGTCCCCCTGGATCCTGCCCTTACCTGGATGGTGTTGGTGGCCGCAACTGGCTTGAAATCCTTGTGCAGATTGTTGACTTTGTCAAAGAAGCGGGAGAGACTCTGGGGAGGTGAGATGAGGGGTCACGGGTGGGTGGGAAGCTCAGGGCCAAGGGGTGGGCAGGGTGCTGCCCCAGGGATCCCCACCTCCCTGTCCTGGGGGGGTGCTCACCTGGCTGTGGACTCCAGGGGGCAGAGACCAGGTGAAGAAGGGCTTGACTGTGGGGACAGGACAGTGGTTCATTAGAGGCGTGCACGTGTGCTTGCGTGGGTGTGTATGAGCATGTGCACGTGGGTGTGCATGTGTGTGAGGTGGGGGAGGTTCTGGGGTCAGGACAGGCTGGGAACCTTTGCAGATGGTGCTGTTCCGGCCATTGACGCTCCCAGGAATCAGCTCCCAGCCTGGGCGGCAGTGGCACTGGTACGACCCCAGGGTGTTGGTGCAGATGGTGGACTGGTGGCACTGATGCTGCCCGGAGCTGCACTCGTCCATATCTAAGGACACAGACAGAGGGGTCAGTCCCGCCTCAGCCAGGACCCGTGCACTCTGCCGTCCGAGCTCCACCCCCTTCTTCCCGCCATTAGTGCCCTGCCTGGGCTGCAGTGCGGCCACCTGGAGATCCACACCGTTGCGAGGTGGGCACCAGGTCAAGAGGTGTTCGAGGCCTGTGCAGGTACAGGTTGTGAGGCTGCGGAAACTCGTCACCCAGTTAGTCACTAGCTGTAGCCCAGGACCCAGGAGCCTCCTGTCAGACCCCAGCTCCTCCCCCAGGACCCCGTCTTTCCCGTCCAGCCCCTGGAGCATTAGTTGGCGCAGGCGCAGGCGCTGCAGCACTGGACGTGGTTGATTTGCCCGTGAGGGCTGCGATCCCGGCTGGACTGCGGGCCTCTGAGTGTGGCCTCTGAGCCCCACCTTCGCACACGGTGCTGTTGGGGCCGTTGGGGGATCCGGGGATAGGCTTCCAGCCGGGTCGGCAGCGGCACTGGTAGCYGCCCACTTGGTTGAGGCAGTGGGTGGATTTGTGGCACGGGTTTTGTCCAGAGGCGCATTCATTCACATCTAGGACAAAGCAGGGGGTCAGTCCCCGCCCCTGACCGGCTCCCATGCCCCGCTCACTGCACCCACTTCTCCATCTTGTCGCAGCCCCAAACCAAGGACCTCTGCAGGTGCCTCAACTTCACCTTCAGAGCACCTCAGGTGGCCTCCCTGCATGAAGGGCACAGTGATGACCCTGGTCTCCAGTTTACAGGAGGTGGATCCAGGAGGGAAACCGAGCCAGGGGTGGAACCTCCTGACCAAGGACTCTGGTCTTCCTCTTCGTGGCCACGGTGGAGGCGCCTTGTCAGAACTGAAAGCGACTCTTCTACTCTCACATGAATGATGAGGATGGGGCTGAGGTCTGGGGCTCCACACGGACCCAGAGCTCA